CCTGTAGGTAGGTGGGGTAACCGATTGATTTGCAAAAAAAAAAAACACAACAAAAAAACCGCCACAAACAAACGCCCTAAGCTTAGTGGAGGAATATATTGTTATTAGGTTTTGGTTTTTTTGTCATTATTTGTTTGGGTTTTTTTCTTCTTTCTATATTTTGTGGAGACCAGAACATTTTTTAAGGGTTAGAACAGTCATTCCCCGGAACCAGCCTCCTCATGGTTGTGGTAGAGTCCCCAACAGTGGAAGTTTGCAAGACATGGTTGAACAGGGTGCTAGATAACCTCACCTGGGCCTTTTCCACAAGAGGTTGGACCAGGTGATCTTTCAAGGTCCTTTCCAGCCTGGGCTGTTTTATGATTTTAGCTGTTAATGTGTATTATTGCACTTTCAAAGGTTATTTTTACTTAAAGCAGAGGGTTAATGAGAAGACAGAACTGGAGGGTGGATAAGTATATCTATTTAACATACTTGGAAGGTCAGAGGATGTAAATGGTTAGTTCTGCTTGAAGAGAGTAGGTGGCAGAAGCATAATTTGATACTCAATTCTCTTTCCATAAAGAAAACAGTGAAGCTGGGTCTTAGAATTCTTTGGGGTTTAGGCTGTAGCTTGTAAAAGTTTTGCAGAAGATAATGATATATAAAAAAAAGCAAATTGGAATAAACAAATATATTTGGCATAGTAAAACTAATTTAATTTTTTTAAAAGGTAAGTTTGTCATTGTGGGGGGGAAAAACACACCCAACAATCAGGAAAAAAACCTCAGCACTAGAAGGTAATTTTGAAGTATTAAAGAATGCTATCAGAGCATGGGTTTGGGTTTTTTTCTGTGTTGACATAGTTGATTTGTTTTTTCAGTTTGCATTTCAGTTCTTTGTACATTCGGTGTGTCAAAACAACATGTAACATGTTCTATAGGCAGTATTTAATACCCAGTGCAGTAATACTAGTGTCACTTGTGTAGCCTTTTTTAAAAGCACTTAAGTTGAGTCGGCAGGTTGTGCTTGATAATCCCTGAACTGTTAAATTCCATACTTCAGTGTACTGTTTTGCTGACTGAGAAGTTTGGGTCTGCAGGTAGTGCACCACATTTGCATAATCTTAGGTGTGGTCTTTTAGCTCATGTCTTTAATAAATGTAACCTGGGACGTGATACTACTTAAATGGTGCTTCCACACCTGACTAGGCTTGTGTCCAGTTGGCATGGCTGGCATTTCTGCACTGTGTCCTCAGGACTTTTGATTCCTTTTAACTCCTGGAGAACATGCTTTGGCTTTCTGCACCTGGATGTGATACAGCTGAAAGATCATCATCCATGTGTAAATACTGTCTGATAAAGTTTTGAAGTCTCTAGCTTTTGGTTTTTTGGTCATTTTAAGTTGAAAAAACAGGTTACTGAAGACTGAAAGCACCTTTAGTGCATGCAGACTCTTAGCACAGAGGGATCTGAAATTTCCCAATTCAGTTAGAAATAGATTTGCAACTTGGTTGCATAGTAAGGACCTTTAAGGTTGAAACATATAAAAAAGCATACTTAAGTGTTTGTGAGGACAATATCTAAAAGCTTGTTCTAAGAAACTATTGCTGATGCCCATAATCTGGAGTTCCTGGTGCTAGCAGAGCATGGCTGTCATCTGTGTATTAGACTTCATGTTTAAGGCATTTGAAGGTTCTGTTTCCTCCTCAGTAATAAACAGGCTCCTAGAATTTGATATAATTGGCAAGTTCCTTGTACTTAACGCTCTGATGTTTAAGCTTTGAGCATTAGGACTGAGCAACAGGTTAACAGTCGTGCCAGTTAGGATATTTTTGACAGACTTTGGTACTGGGTTTTTTTATGGGGACTTCTGAGGTGTCTTTTCATGGGGTTTTTTTGTGTCTATACAGGAACTGACAACAGCTTTGGAGAAGAATCCAGACAATGCCGAATATTATTGTCAGCGAGCTTATGCTCATATCCTTCTACAGAAATATGCTGGTAATTTCTTCAGACAATACTGAGAATCTTAAAAGTGTATTTTAACATGTTCTTTACAAAAGATGTCTTCAATCTGAAGACAAATACAGTAATAAGAAAGTGTAATCTATAACTTAATATGCTGCTTCTATGGTTAGGGCATAATTTTATAGTTTTCTTTGTTTTGTTTCTGCAAAACTTCCCAACTGGGTACTCTGCAGTCCCATTTGCATTTAGTTTTAGCCTAGTATTATCTTGGCAGCTTTTTTTAAGTAGACTTCTTAAGCTTTGTGTTGTAAGCATCCTTATGTTTTTGGTAGAGACTGAGTCCTGTCACGGTAGGAATATGGTAACTGAGTAGTGCCTGGGAAAAGGACTTAACCGAATAACTTAAGATTTGGTCTATTTTTTCTTTCCATTAAAAAACAAACAGATTCACACTTGATCTAAGTAGAGGATTTGACTAAACAAAAGTCATCCTGCGTCTTAGGTAAAACTAACTCTACAGCGGAATGGAGGGGTCATCTGGAGCAGTTGTGGCTACATTTCATTCCAGCTGTGGGATCTGTGTGCATCCTAGTACACCTTAAAATTTTTGCTACTAAAAGACTCACCATTCAGTGCTTTTTATAAGGTATTATTGTGTTCCTCATCTTTAAACCGACTTCCAACAGATGCAGTTGCAGATGCAAAGAAGTCCCTAGAGCTCAACCCGAATAATGCTGTAGCGCTCCTTAGAAAAGGGTATGTATCCTGTGTTGTACTTTGTTATAATCTATAGGGCAATGCCAATATTTGGGTTATGAGTCTGCACAAGCTTTTTGCAACACCACGAATTAATGCATTTAATGCCATACTGCTTGTAACCAATTCATGATAAAGCTGTGTTATAAGAAGCAGTTGAATTTGGGGTGGTTTATCTTAAGATCCTCGCCATTTCAAAAAGAAACCTCTTCAGTGATTTAAATTCTTACAGGAGTATTTTTAACAAATATAGTGTGTGAACTGAGGAGGTTGTGATGTTAAGAATGTGGGTTAGACTGAAAGGTAATTACTCTTTCCTTGTGTTTTTCTTTTTTTATGTCAGGTTAGGTGAATATCATATCAACAACTATGTGTCTGCTTTAGAGTCTTTCAGAGAGGGACAGAGATTGGACAGTAAGTATTAACATTTCTTTTTTGCAGAGTACTCCTTTGCTAATGAGAAAAAGCTTTTAATGTGTTGGTTGAAAGTGAAAGCCAAGGATTTTAAAAAGATTGTTTTAAAGGCTAACATATTAGGTGCCTGACTTCAGATGTCTGCTTTTTGGGAAGTTTTGTGCAATCACTGCATGAAAGTGTAAAACTGCAAAAAAGTGTATATCAAAGTTACTAGCAAGTAGTATATTATTTTTTAAAAGTTTAATTTTTTTTCTTTATAAAATGGGTAGCTTTGTCATGCTTTCTGGAGGTCTTACAGTTAAATGGTGGCAATGGTGTGGCTGTGTCCCAGAAAGTTTTCTGAACAGAACAGACTCCTTACACAAAGCTGAAATTTCTTACTTAAACCACTTGATAGGCCAGTCTTTAGAAGGAGTGTGCAACTTGATGGGTATTCAAACTGACAAAATGGATATTTAACTCACATTACATATAATTTAATTTATTATAAAAATATTTATTATATTTCTATAATACAATTTTTATTTATTATATTTTTTTCTTAGTCTTGGCTTCCCAGCTGGACTTGGCCACTTTTTAGGTTGAGGAGAGTTAGAGCTTTTTTAAAACCTGACTTTATCCTAGAAGCAGGAAATGAGTAGTTTATTACAGAAAGTATTGGTAGGAGACATGGGGAAGCATAAAACAAAGCAATTGCAAGATGGTGGCAACTCCTTTCTCTTTCTTCCACTCCCCTATTTTAAGTAAAACTCTCTTGTTCCTGCCATTCCCAAAAAGCAGGAGGACATTGTAAGAAAAACACCTTGAAAGGTTACACAGCGCAAAGTGCACTAAAGTGATACGCGTTGTTATGGTCTCAGATCTTTCTGGTTTGCTCTCTTACCTGCTAACAGTGGTTGGGACATAACACATTTAGCAAAAATATAATTACATTGCCTCTCTCAAATAAGTGATCTGATCCTCTGAGCTAAAACTGGAGTTTCATGAGAGTATAAACTAATTTATGCTTACTGCCAAGCAGTCATTCTCCCTCCTACTCTTGTATTTGCTTAGCTTCTTTTTTCAGTGCAGTAAGCCTGCAGAAAGCTACTATTTTAAATTTATTTTCCCCTGAATTAATGTGTTGAAATAGGCCAATAAAGGGTCTTGGAGCCAAAGACAGTAGAAGTGACAGAGCAGTGTTGGGGTAGTGATAATAGTGGTAAAGGGAGGTGTGATGGAATTACAGCAACTGCTCTGGAATTAGAGTTAAGATGTAAGACCTTTCCTAAAGTTCTTTCAGTTTGGATTATTAGGTAATCTCCACTAGTCTGTACACAGGAAAGACGAGTGTCTTTCCAGTCTACCCAAGTTCTTTATTTAGTATCTTCCCATGAAAGGAGGTGGTTCCTTTCTACTTCTGTAGCTTTCCTTACTTGATAGGTATCTTTTCATACACCTCCAAATTCATCACTCCTAAATTTAATCTATATATTTTTTATATATTCTTGCCCCACGACCACTGTCAATTTGAGGTTTTTCCCGTGCATGCATTTTGTCACCATTTTAGTTTGTCAGTTGGAGTTGTTCAAAATACAGATGATACAAAAAATCTCCTCAGGCCAGAGCATCACTTGTTATTTTCATTCTGTTTAACCTCACATCCTGCTTGTGTTGTAGGGTGCAACAGCACACAGAGCTACAGATAACTTTTTAGTTAAAAGTTTTGAGTACCAGGATCCTCTTACCTAATACAGAGTCCTTGAAATACAGCAGAGCTTTTTCCTGTGTTGAATTGCTTGACTTGTACCTGTTTGAATTTAATCTGTCATTATTTTGCTGCTTACCCAGTTGAAGCGTTTTTGAAGCTTCCTGGTCCTTCCTGATTACTCATTCATCTGAAGATAGTTTCTGCTGTGCTTCTCCTATCTCATTACAAAATTCTGTAACCCTCTGTGATATGAGGAGTCTCCCAAAGGCCTTTTTTAAGAATACAGATTTTGGTTGATTCTCTTCTGTTACCTGATTCGCTGGCAAGTTTATGTCAATAAGAGAATTTGCCTTTGCAGTTCTGAGGAATGTTTTATGGATCCCAGGTGGAAACAGTTGTGAGCATAAGCATTTTGGCAAAACAGTTAACTTCCAGTTCAATGCAGCTAGTGCAAAATGAATAAAGTGCAGAGGGAAAAATTGCCACATACTGCTAAGCAGGTGATAAAGAGGTGGTTTTAGCTGTTCTTGCCCCAGAGAGGATTGCTGTGGTGGGGAATTCTTTGTCGGCAAGGGTGGTTTCTTTGCTACATGGGGTCAGAGTATGTTATTACATGTTTCTGTTCCTTGCTGATATAAGGGGCTGGTTTAAATCTTAATCAGGAATGCTAATAACAGTGAGCTTCCTACCTGTGCTCATTTCTGGTGGGACTGACAGGTCTCAGGTGATAACTAAATAGGGCTTGATGAGATGTTGAATGTGCAGTGTTTCTTTATTTATAAAATAACATGAGGAAGAAAGGTTTCTTTCACTAAACTGTGAGACTAGACATACCGATTTTTGAAATTAATTTGCATTTGATTGAAAAAGAGGTGTGATTTGCTACTCTCCAGTATGTTATGTGGATTTAGGACAGTTAAGCTCAAATTTTTGTGTTATGTTTTTGTGTTTTTTTTTCTCTGACTATTTAATGAATTTAGAAAAGATGGAATGTGTCAACTTTAAAGAAACATATTAGCTGGTACTTACATTCTAAGAGTTAGGAGACTTTCAGTAAGTGAATGCACAATTAGGTTTTCTGAACTAGGGAGTTATTAAAAGGAAGTTGTTAAGTTCTTTGGGAGGATAATGCAATTAAAGAGCACTGAAAAAAGTTTGTTTTTTTTCAAATTATAAAACGTTCTGGAATGTAGAGAAAGATGCAGTGGTTCATGAGTGGAAACTTAGGAGTTCAAGTTCCACGTGTGTAGCAAAATTATTTATCACATTGTGCATTCCTTTGGTCCAATTACCCATATCTTTTTCTGCCAAGTTGGTGATTTACATAACACAGTCTTTGAGTCTCAATTAATTCAGGGTCTGGTTATTGCTGGATGTCCTTGCTCAGTGCTGGCTGTGGCACCAGTTGTGAGTTTCTTTGTCTCCAATCTCAGCACATCCCACAGCAAACTCCCTGGTTCACAGTTGCCTGCAGCGTTTGCCACATTGTTGTCACATGGTGGGGGCTTGTTTGGTTGGTTGCTGAGATGTCTCTTTAGTCCAGCAATAAATCCTGCTTAACCCTTAGATGTCTCAAGACAAACACCAGTCACCCTGAGTGTCTGAACACACTGTTCATCTCTTGGATTGTTTGAGACAAGCACCATATATCCCGAATATCACAGCACCCCAGGATTCCATTGGCCTTCTTGGTGGGTAGACAAACACCAGACACCCTGAGTCTATGAATACGCTGTTTATCTCTGGAATTGTTCGAGCTGAGCACCATATATCCCCAATGTCACACATTGCTGCTTTTTTACTTTCCTGACTGAAAGATTTTTCTGGGAGTTTTGTTGATAAAAGATGATTACTCTGTCATTACACTGCTACCTATTGAGCAAATTTCTAGTGAATTCATTTTTGTCTGGGGAGCTTGCTTTCTAGAGTATCAAGGTCTTAGCTAAACTTTTATTTGATTTTGATTCATAGAGTGGAATTGGCACCTGTGTATTTCTAACATCCTTGAAGATTCAGATGTGTATGTAGAGTTTGTGGGAAACCACCAGGAGAAGTTACTTGGTATTTGTGAAAACCTGTGCAACTTTGTGTTGTCCTTGGAACAGTCTAGTCTGATGCTTTTGTAGAGAGAAGGAATGTGACCAAGTGAAAAAGTAATTTTAAGAATAATGGAAAAATGTGTAAAAACTGTACTTCTGGCTTTCCAAACAGTTATATAGAAGTTGAGCAAACTGGAAAGCAGTTGTGTGTTTGGGTCAGTTCAGATGAAATCTATTGCCCTATAAATAAATTTGAAGGTACTGAAATAAAACAGAGTTAAATAGAAGAGTTACAGAAAAATACTTGAAGTTTTCCTGGAATGACAGAAGTTGCAAGAAGATACTAGGAAATAACAGTAATTTTTAGGAAACTAAAATAGGGTGAGCTTGTTGCAGTTGGCAGTCGTGAGGGATTGCTCTTTATGCAATACTTGTAGTGCTCAAAGAGCTCTAATGATACTGTGTTTGATATCTTCTAGATGTAGATGATACCTTTACTATTTGGATTAAAAGATGTGAAGAAAGACTAAATGGTAAGAAGAACCACATTTACTCAATAAGGGATTTCATATGCCCTTTGCTTTGAAGCCATCATGTTTTTCAAAGTTTTACAGCTTATCTGTTACTAAGAACAAAAGGAATTTTTGTTCTAAAAAAGTAACTTTATCTTTCCGATTTGCTCTTGAAGTATATGTCCAGAACACTTCTATACTTCAGATTTAGAGGAACATTAATATTGGGTTTTTAATGTTAATAATTAGCTGTGTCAGAGGATCATCTATTTAAAGTCCAGGCATATTCAGTGAGTGTGAGTATAGTTTCCTTTCATACCTTTCTACAAACTGGCACCCCCAACAGTGAACTCATCCACCATGCTTAAACTACCTGTGGCTTTTAATGAGATACAACACAATAACTGATGTAGTTTTTTTGTCTTCACCTGTTGTGACTTCCTCCCTACTTTGTGGTGCACAGTAGAAAAGGGGGCAGTAGAAGTAATAAAAGTTTGTCAACCCGCTGAGTGAGTGAGTAGAGGAGAGCCTTTTTGCATTGTATTGTATTGAATAAAAAAATTTCTGCTTCATGGTACTTTTTCACCAGCTTTATAATTTGGAGAAATTAGGTAATTGCATGGTCTTATTTGCAGACTTACCTTGAGTGACAATTTATTCTGCAGTCTCAAGGCAAGAGGATGTAATAGACATTTTTCTTTAATACATACTTAATTTTTGCAGTATTTTGTCTGGTTCAACTCAGTTTTTCTGTTTTATCTTGAATATTCATCCCTGTCTTTTCCTTTTTGAGCCATTACCTCAGTTCTCTGATTCTCCAGAAAACAAAAACAAAGCAACAAACATAAACAAAAAAACCCAAAAAAACCACCCACCAAAAAAACCACTATACAACCAAAAAAAGCCAAGGCCAAACCTTCTGCCTTCTGTTTTCTTAACTACAACTTAAGATTCTTTTTAGCAGTATGCATTATGAAGAAGCAAAGTGCAAGTTTGGGTTTTTTTTCAAAAGTATTCTTAAATATTTTAGGAAAAAATACTTAGAAGAGGAAATTTGGAGTTACAGTTTAGATCCAACTGTTACAGTATATTTAAGGTCATGTAACTGAATTTCTCTTCCACATTGCCATCTCATTCCCCAGCTGTGTTTGACTAGCATGAGATACAGATTTGAAGTCTGTAAAAAGTAGGGTGCCATAAAAGCAAAATACTAGAGGTAGAACAGATATGTTTTTAACCCTTCTGCTGTTGAGACTGGAATAAATGCAGAACGTTTGGAGTAACTGAAATAAAGCTAGAATAAGTACATGCCTTTTAAGTTCAGTGTCTTTTTCTGAAAGTGCAACTTCTTTTCTTTCTGCAGCATCACAGACAGAACTGGTAAGGTGCTTTCCTTAATATGTTTACTCTTCAGATTTCTTCAAGCTAGAGCATACTTTTAGGCTTCACTGGCTCCTTAAAGGCTTTTTTCAGGCTTTAAAAATCTTTTTTATGTGTGCAATTCTGAAGGATTTAACTTCTCTTCTGAACGTGTGTTCTTTTGAGACGAAGGTTGCAAAATTTGAAAACTCTTAGGAATGGCTTACAAATCTCGCAATAACTGTACAGTCATTAAAATAAATTTTAACTTGGTTGCTTACAGTCTGTGACCTAATTCTACAAATTAACCAGCTTGCCTTGTCAGTACTAACTTGCTTGTGACTGCTAGGAAGTAACGTGGCCACTGCGTGTTTTTCAGGTATACTTATAAAATGTCTGACCAATACATTGTAAGTTACAGACTGTCATATTTAATGTAAATTGGATTTTTTTAGTTCTTCATCTAGCATAAATGGCTAGAACAGTGAAGAGCTTCATCTATATGGTAATGCACATACTTAAATCAAGAAATGGGGAGCAATCAGTATGTAGCTTGTTTTTGTTTTTCAAAAGTACTTCATGGTATATTTTCACTTACACTAATGTAATTTTCTTTCCAATGGAATATACTAGAACACAGAGCAGCAACCTCTGCCACCAAAGATCAAGTAAGTTGACTTTAGCTTTACTGTGAGAATTGAAAGAGTTGACATACAACTTTATTCTTTGACTTGAGAATTGGAGAAGGAAAATAATGACAAGTTTAGAACATGACAGTCTCAAGTCAGATATTTCGGAATCAGTGTCCTCTGTTCAGACCAAATTGTACTTCCAGGATATTATGCTTCACTCAGCAAGTGGGGAATGGAGTAAGGATTCTGGCTTCAGCTTCTGTCTAGTTTTCAGTTTGAGCGTAATTCAAAGACTGCCCCATTGTGCCTAGTATAGGTAATGCTTTTGAAAAACTTTTAAAGACCCTGAACTAAAAGATGCCATTTAATTTATAGAAGCCAAACAGTTTTATGAATTCGATAAAAAAATTACCTAATTTTACTATGATGATTCTTTGTTCTTCAACTATTTACCTTGTCAGTTCTGCAAGTACTATGTTAGGGGAAGGGGAGGAAACCTAGATGTGTATGTCTTCCCCGTAAAGCTATGTAATGTACAGTTCCAGGTTTTAGTATTGTTCTGTACATCTCTTTGCAGTCAGTTTTTTCCTCTCCTTTTTAATGTTTTTAGATACGACTGGTACCAAACAGAATCTCAAGTAATTGTGACTATAATGATCAAGAATGCCCAGAAAGATGGTGTCTGTGTGCAGTTCTCGGAGAAAGAGGTGACTTGTCTTTGTTACTAATACGCATCTCTGGATTCTGTAGATGTAGTACTGAAACCAGTGAGTGCCATCTGCTGCAATAGCATGAAAAAAAAGGGTACAAGAGGTCTTGTGTCTGATTTATTTTTTTTTATGTACAGCTTTTTTAAATCTGCTGTTGATATGTATATGCTCAGTCAGGTGAACCAGGAGTTGTTACCACAGCAGTGTCCACAGGGTTTACACACAAGCTGTAACGGGAACATCTGTTTTACATCTGCCTGTATGTTTGGAGGGGTGAGGGAGGAAGTGATCTGGACTTAAAATGTTTGTGCATGCATCTGGAGTAAGAATAGTCAGAGGCAAGGTATTCTAAAAACAGGTATGAATGAGTAGTGTCTCGCTTTAGGACAATTAGAGAAAAAGAGTAAGTGTTGGTGGGTGGGTGGGTTTTTCCTTGGTTTTGGCATTACTAAAATTGTTAATGGCAGCAAAATACAGATACCATATGTGGTACTGATGATGTTAATGTTTTATTTAGCTGAGAATATTAGTTAGGTTCTTATTCTCAACTAAGTTGCTGCTTCACAAACTACCAGAAGTACTTGGTTGTTATCTTCTGGTTTAGACTGTTAAAATTGTGTGAGCACTTGCCACATAGTTTGTATGTATTAAAAGGGAAGTTGCAGACTGTTTTCGTGTTCCATTATTAATGTGTTGATACTTCATTTGCCATATAATTCTTTCCCCAAAGAATGCAGATCAAGCTGACAAGATAATAGGCTTTTTGAGTACTTGCTAAGAACTGAAATCTCCTGTTCACTTTCTAGTGTACTTTAGAAACACCTTTTTTAATAATGCAGTAATGTAATGGTGTAGTCTGAAATTCTCATGCCTGATGCTTTAAGTGCCCTAGTGAAGGGTCATTAATTTAATTGCTTAATCTTGGTGCCAAATGACAGTCCTTCACTTGGAAAACTGCTCTCAAAGATGACCAGAGATATGTTTTTGATTCTTAATAGATGAATGCATCAGTGAGACTTCCATCAGGTGAAGACTACAACTTAAAGCTTGTTCTTCTTCATTCTATAGTGCCCGAGCAAAGTACTTTTAAAGTGCTTTCCACAAAGGTAAGCTTTTTAAACTGTAAACTACTTCTTTGACTCTTCCTGATGTTGAAAATGTTTGTGCTCTGCTGTCTCTGTGCAACTGAAGTGCAAATGACAGATATGTTGAGGATATTTTTAGTTGTTGCTGTAGAGAGATTGTGGTCTTGACTTTTAAAAGTCAGGTATTGGGAAAGTATGAACACCTTTCTACTAAACTTCTAGGAGCCAATATAGCCTCATGAAGCATTGTTAATCTTTGTGTGCCCAAGAAAAAGCAAGTCAGACTTTGAGAACTTTGTTGTTGAAATAATTCTTTACCATTTCATGACCTTTTCTTGCTGGTAAAGGTTAGCCAGACGGTTAACTGTTCTTGGCTTTCCAAGAAGGTGTATTCCCTGCTGTTCCTGGAAGTAGTACTTGCTTGGAGATACTTAAAAATCACACAGTGTGAGAGAGTATGCTTTTGTCTCACTATTTGTTTTTTTCTGTATTACATGTATAGCAAAATAAGAAACTGGTCTGATGTGGCATATATTGTTGGGTATAGCATATAGAAAGACAAAGGCTGTTAAAGACACACTTTGTAAATAGAGCCAAACCTGAATCTCTGAATCAGGAATATATTGTTGATTATTTCCTTGTATTTCAGCAGTGGCTCTGCAGAGCTTTTGGAAATACCTTTTTACTCTGACGTTCCATTTTACCCGTTCCCTTCTTGAAAACGTGCCTATAGTTCTGCATCGTTTCAGTGAAGAGGGAATTCAAGATTACACGAGGGGATTGTCATAGGAAGTTGGTCTCCTTTCTCCACTCCTTGCCCTAAGGAAGATGGGCAGGTTATGTGTTGAGTCATGTGAACTCTTAGGTTGTGGGGCATGAGCAGAGTGCTCAAAGTATGTAGAAAGCCTGCTAGTCCATTAGTATTTATCTAAATTTGTGTGGAATGGGCACAGACCTTATCTAGAGAAGTAACTGTGAGGTTGTGTTTGCTTTATATTCATATCTAGCTTGTGTTACGCTTTTCATTTGCCTTGGAACTTTACCATTACTTTCACAAAGCACCTCCATGCTCTTGGGCATGGTTGAAATAAACTTGACCTTGTCTTTCTAAACTACCATTTCTAGCCTGGGTTAATCTCTGGAATAATCTCTAGTAGTCTAGAATCTTGTTTATATGAAGGTTCCTACAGTAGTGTGAAAACTATAGTTATGTTCCATAAGTGTATTTGTAAATATTTTGCTTTTGTTTCCAAATGTTACTTTTCCTATATGAGAGAATATTTTGAGACAGAATGGGTAAGAGAGATCACAGAAAGTGTTGTTACAGCAGAAGTCTGTGCTTGAACACGTTCTTCCTCTTGCAGAAAAGAATAGTGTAAGGACATCTGTGTAGGCACAGTGAAGGAATACAATTTAAATTATTCCCAGCTAAATTCCAGTTCTGACCAGCAGATGGAGTCTGGCTGAAGAAAAACGCATAGAAGCACATATACTTTATGCATGCAAACACTTCTTTAAAGGTTTAGAATATTTTACTTTGAAAAACATTAAGCGCTTTAACAGAATGGTGTGGCCTTAGTGCCTGAGTACTAGAAATTCAGATTCCTTTCCTTAAGTTTAATGTATGTGCTTTGTTTTTATGAGCAGTATGGAAAATGGCAGTTATTACTTTGAATAATCTGTCTGATTACTTAAAACTTTTCAACACATTTATGAATTTACATGAAGTTCTTTTATAAGGAATTGATAAGAAAGACCTAGTCTCACTATCTTCCTAATTATGTGAACTTTTTACTATGTGCTGCTAAAGAAATGGTGTTTTCGTGGGATAGGAACAGATCTGTTCCTATTTATCAGTAATTTCAGATAATAACTGCGTGTGTTCATAATGCTTTATTTTGTATTGCAGCTTTACACGTGCGAGCTATGTTGCCATTAACATGTAGTCTTGACTGGGCAACAGAGTTTGGTCTGTCTTTGCCAATTATGTGAGGAAATATGTGAGTAAACAGAATGGAATGTGTGGACAGGTTATGTGGGGGATAGTTTGTATTTCCTGTGAACTTAATAAAACTAATAAATGTAATGGATAGAGGATCAAACAATGGAACTGACAGCAGAAGAATCCTGCCTGTTTTGGTAGAACAGACAAGCTGGAGGGGGATTTCTCAGTGCTGCTTAAAATTCAGTGTATCTTGATAGATGCAAAGGAATAAAGGTAAAAATGAAAATTCAGGAGGAGGAAATAGCCTTAATAGAATCTGTAATTCTGCAATTACAAAAATAACTGCAAAGAGCAGACAGAACTTACAAACTCTGGGATTGGTTCTTTCAGGAGATGTGAACAGTGGTGAAAAGTGTAATTTGTACCTTAAGAATTGTTTCTTTCCTGGCAATAAAATAGATATTATACCTTTCAATAGAGCCATACTGTGTGTATCTCTGACATACAAAGTATCTGTTTGGAATAGCAAATGGTACAGAGGTAGCATAGATAGGTGCTTTGAGGGGTTTGAATGGTTTCTGTATAAGCAGTAATAAATTAGTGTTCATTATCTGCAGACTTTTGGCTTCAGGCTGTGAGCTAGAAGAGATAAAACAGTTAATGCCAACTCAAGAACAGCACGATGTGTGGGTGAAGTCCAGTTTTGAGAAAAAATCTTTATGCATCCTAGTATTGTATATTGTCTAATTGTCAGCAGATTTAAACATGATGCAGACTCCCTTAATAATGGTTGTAGTTATTACTGCTTGGAGCCATTTTCTTACCAACTCAAAAGTTTATTTGCTGTTTAGTAGATATCTCTGCTTCCAAATTCAGCTTTGAGTTGGTTATGGCTCCTGTTCACATTTAGTCACAAGTTACTTGGAATTACCCTGTGTTGTTCAGCTTGTATTCCAGATGAACTAAGGCATTAACTTAAAGTTCATGTGAGAAAATGCTGAATACAACTGGTTTGAGTCCTGTGCTGTATGTGCATAGCATTTATTTCCTCTACTTGAACAGCATAGTTGGTAGATCATAACTAGCATAACGGAATCAAGTGACATTATTGTTTATACTCCTCATCTGTCAAAGGTGTGTATAGTAATCTGGTCAAGCAAAAAGTAACAGCAGCTCCAAAAAGCACCATACATAAATTTGACGTTTGTCGTACAAATAGAAGCTGATCGGCTCTTTGTATGTAGCATAACTTCGCACACAGTAGGTAGGGTTTTGTGTATTGTGGTGGTCATCCTCAGTGGTGTTCAGATGTGAGGTGAAGTGGGGGAAAAACTGTGCCACGTTGCGTTCAGCATTTTCACAAGAGCAAGGTACCCTTTATTTGTGCTACTTGGCCTCTTCTTTCCAGAAGAGGGAGCCAGAATGTAAAGGCTGGATCAAGTTTGGTCTTTGGTAGTTGCATGCATGCATTTGTCATGTAGCTCAGTAAGCATAGGATCATCGAGCTCTCTTCAAAAAAGGAAAAAAAACATAAAACCTTCAAATTACTGGCTCAATATGCTTAAGACAAAACTAGGTGATCTGTTTCTGTCCAGAAAATAGAGCAGGAAAATAGAAATGCACAAACTGTGTAAGGATTTCTGATGTTCTGAAATAGTTCTTTGTGCACTGTCAGCTTTGCTTTCTGTTCAGTCTATCAGGCAGAATGTTTGGGATTCCAGGGATCATTTTGCCATGTTTTGTTGGAAACCTGTGTAACGTGAGCAGTTTCTCTAGATCTGCTGTTGTGTACTAGATCATGCTCCTGGTTTTCTGGTCCTTGGACCTTGTAAAGGAGACTGAGGACGAGTATGTGCTTTTAGTACATATGCTTATGAACGTGAAGGAAACTTGAGATGGTGCTTTCTCATTTTATTCCTTTCTGCTCTTGCATCTACAAACAGTTTAAGGACAATTACTTTGAACATTCAGTTTTTAGTCGTCTGGGCTTTTTGAAAGCACTGACTTGCAGCAATTTAGAGCCATTTGAAAAAGTGTTTTTTTACTGCAGAACTGTCCTTTAATTGGAGATCAAAGTTGTGCTGCAAACAGGAAAGTTGTTAGAAATCCTCAGCCTCTTTTACAGTTGACATTTGTTACTTAATAGAGATGTCTGAGGTAGAAGCACAGTCTTAGCAGCTTCGTGCCAAGAATATGGTAGTGTGCATCAGTGAAATGTTTCTTTTTCTCAAACCAACATTTTGCCTTGCAAACTCTGAAATGCTCCGTGCTTACTGGAAAAGCACACCAATGCCTGTTGCTAAATGTGTAAGGCAAAAGGCAGAGAGTGAGGCTGTTTCACGCACTCTTGGACTGTGATCAGAGTTTCTATTCATACGCAAATATGCACAAATAGATAATCAGAGGAACAGATTTATTTTAAGTGGAGTTCTTACTGTTGTAGTCCAATCCTTAAAAGGTCCTGTGTTATTTTGGATGTTTTCATAAAATAGCTTCCCTGCTCTCAATCCTCGTTTTCTCTATGAGGTTTTCATGCAGGTTCATATCTCAGATATATTCTTGAGTGTTTCTGTAAATTATTAATTAATATTTAATATATGAGTTGGATACTTTTCTGAAATTTCTTGCATCCCTTAGGCAGAGCTAGTTGGAGAAATTTCCTGGCTAGACCATAAAGAAACCTTCCCAATTATTAGCATGATATTTACTTGGCTCAAAATGTTTTTTCTTTTTTTTTTTTTTTTCTCTTTATGGGTGCAGTTAGGTGTGAGGCAGATTTAAACTTGTTAATACTCTGAGAATTGTATTTTAAATAAGGATATAAGTCAATGTACCCATGCCTTATATAAATACATAAAGCAGAACTATATGTAAGGGGGTTTCTCTGTCTTGAGAGAAGATGGATTTAGAACTATTGGAATAGTGATGATTTGCATCGAGGTTGCAGTGGCATACCTCTGTATGACTAGCTCATTCTCTAAAATTCAAAATTTTAATAAGGGATTGCTATGTAATATTGAGGTGGAAACTCTAACCTTTTTGCATTCTGTTCTCCATAATATATAACTGGCAAAGA